TATTGGTTGTTGACTTTTTTCCAAGATGGGTATGCTGTGTTGATATCTTCTTCGCCTAACAGTGACTTACTGTGTCTTAGTTCTTTCAAAATGTCCATTAGTTTATTTACTGTTTCTCTTGGTGTAGAATTGATCATTGTTGCAAGTGAGGCCTCGGTGACGACTGCATGTTGGTTACTGTGAAGTGGATGTCGTGCGTAGTAGTCATGCGTGATCAGTAGCCTTTCCCTGAATTCCTCTTGTTGCAGTATTGATTCTGCAGCTAAAGTGTATGCTAGCTGACTAGTTGCTTCTAATAAGCTTTGCGTATGTTTAAGTGCTTTTTGTGTGTTTTGAAGTTCTGGTAGTTGATTAAGTAACTCTTCCGTAGTGGAGTGCATGTCTTCATCCTTGTCTAGCAATTGCTGTAGTGCACACTTTAGATGTTGAAGTTCACCCCGTTGATCGACAATACTTTGAACAACGTTGCTGTGATGTCCAGTAACCTTCTTAATGGTGTCAAGGTCCTCGCTGTTACGCATTAATGTCATAATGGTTTCCACTATGTTTTCATTCGTGGTTTCAAGAAGTGTGTGAATGTTTTCCAGTAACTCCTCAGTGTCGCGGAGGGACTGAAGGCGACTTCGTACTTCCGTAAAGTTGACGTTTCCCGTTATGTTGCTAGGGCATATAACGCTTGCATAGCATTCTACAATTTGCTCTAGTTGAATGTGGTTGTCATGGAGTGCCTGAATGGAACTGCAAAGATCTCTCGCCTCATCATTGTCTGCACCTATTGCCTGACTACCAAAGACACGTGCAGCAGTTTGAAGAAGTGTTAGGTGATTCCCCAATGCCCACATGACAAGCTCTAGAATACAGTTCGTATCACGCCCAGCACAGAGAGGCACAACACTCCGGAGTGCCCAACAGAAGAACCGCTGCAGCCGCATGGCGACGACAGTCCCTGGCACTTCGTCTCCATTGGAAACAAGTTGCGTCGCCCATCGGGTAATTGCACTATCTACTTCATCTCTGTCTGCGTCTTGAGTTAGTTCCGCCACATCTTCCTCTTTGTCGCCATACAATGCTCCTCGAGGTGAGACCAAAACCGCGTTTTCAGCAGGCACCACAACCGCTGTTCGTGTCATGGAACTCTGTAACGCCGTAAGTTTTGCCTGCAGTACCGAAAGATCATTTCCCCACCCGTTCTTTGCCCGGGAAAAATTTTGCTCTAACGCCCCAATTTCCACGTCACGTTCACGCCTTACAAGTTCTAGTTCCTGCATAAGTGTCTCCAGTGCCTCTTGTTTGCTCTTCGCTGCTCGTCGTTCTTCCTCTAATGCCTTGACCACCTCAAAGTGCGCTGAGTTTATGACAAGCATGTCTCCACCAGCATTGCTTCCACGCAGTGCAGAGAGGATATGGTCTCGAAGCGATGCATACTCTTCGTAGCATAATTGCAAGAGTTTCACTACTGCTTTTGTAAAACAAAGAAGCGCCTCTTTCGCTACACGTTCTATATTTTTATTTTGACGCACTTCTTGTAGTGTGTCCCGCGGTGTGGCAGGCGCCACCTCTAAGGCACGACGAGCAGCACGGAGTTCAGCTAACATGTTATCCGCATCTTCTTCCTGTGAAGCCGTTTTCACACCTCGACGTAGTGTCTCACATATTTGTTTAATTTTATCGGCCAACGCCACAACACCAGTGTGGTGGCCCTCACTGGCTTCCTTCGTCTCTATGGCACCCCACCTAGACTCATATCCCCTCACCATATCTAGACATGCCTTTTCCAAGTCGTCTAGATGAGATACATCAGCGGCCTTACTCGGTAAGGGTACAGCCGCCAATGACAACTTTGACTTTAGTAAAAGGTCATCTATGTATTTTACACGTCGCTTTTGTTGTTGTTCTTCTTCCTCCTCTAGTTGGCATTTGTCCCTGTCGGGTACTCGCGGACTGCTATTAGGAACATGCCTATCGTAAAGGGCATTCCATAACTCAACTATACGTGTTGGATCCTTTTCACGAGGTGGAAGATCCGAGCCAGGAAGGTGATTGGCGGTATTGTTTTTAAGTTTATCAAGCAGCTCATCCGCATGTTTTTTCCACGTCCTGTTATTCATTTGCTCTACACTAATAGATACTTCGTGCCCGCTGCTTGCTGCGGGGTCCACCACCCGTGACGCCTCGTTGAGGAGACTTATCGCCCGCTCTCTCCATTGTTGCACCGCATCTACCCATTCCACCAACTTATCCTCCACATCTTCACTTGTGGTTTCATCGTGGTCGACGTCCAAGGCTGCAGTAATCCTTTTCCTTGACCGCCCCAACAGAATCTCGGGAGGCGGGCGTTCCTGCGTACACTTGTACATCTCCACAAACTGCTGCCAAATTTGAAAATCCTGTGCGTTCTCGGTGCATAACACGACACGCTCACGCTTTGCCAGCCGCTCGGTCCCCTCCACGGTGTTGTCGCGAATAAACTCCAACACCATGTAGTAATACTGCGGCGGCTGATTCACGGCTGCTCCGCGTGCCCCACGTTGGGGGTGCGGTGCCACACCATGTGGTCCACCTGACACCGGCGGCTTCGGGTTGTGAGTGAACCACGCCACCCGCTTCATGGATCGAAATGCAACCTCTTTTATCAGACGCGACTGTGTGCTACGTGTTGAATAGACGTAGAAGCGGTCGTCCTCAATGCAAACGTAATTTTTAGAGCCCCTCCCCGCGCCAACCTTATAAGGCTTCTCACTATCAGCGCACATCCATAGTTCCCCCTTGATGGCCAAGAAATCCTCCTCCTCGGGCTGGAACATAGTTTTTTTTTTCTGTTCTTGACTCTTGCCTCTACTGCAGTTCTTTTTTACTGCCACCGCCACCGCTGCTGCTCTTGCGTTACTGCTCCCCTTTTCACGCCGAAAAGGTCAAACAGGTATAACACCACTGAAGATCAAAGTGCACCTCCAGGAATGAGTAAGACTCAAAGGAGAAGCTCTAGAAAGAAAAAAAAGAACGGCGCCACCTTCTGTCGGTTATTCGATATGTCTCTCCTTATATATCTATCAATAGATAGATATAGATAAGTATATTTGCCTCTGTGAAGGAAAGAATGACGGTACTAATGGATAAATGTGATACTGGACGTGATGTGGATGACTGAATGGTGCGTATATGTTATGTACGCACGTATTTTAAAGGTGTATAAGACTCCGCACAGCTGTCAATAGCAGTCTTGTCTTGAATGTCGCGTTGTACGGTGGCAGTAGAAATTAAACCAGCCTTCTGCCTTGTTGTTATTGTTTGTAAGGTTGTTACTTTCCCCTCTTTGTCGCGTTCCAGTAACTGTAGCAACAGATGCGCGTTTGTAAATAGCTACACGACGGTCCGGCTGCGTTGATTTGTGCCTAACACCTTCTTTTCTTTTTTATTTTTTATCCTCGTTCTCACCCTCCTACTGGTTTTCACCGTCGTTAAAAGTATGGTTTTTCTTCCTTTGACGGCTTGTCAGTTAAATTTTCCGCTTTTTCCCCTCTCTCCTCGCCCTCTCTTCTGCTCGGTGTTCCCTGAGACTCGTGTCGTCCTTCGGGTTATGTGTGTATCTTTGTTTCCCTTAGCAGGGATATGTTGCCTCGTGTGCACCTGCGCGGCAACAACGCCGGTTAGAGCACAAACAGCCAAAGAACGTGAATAAAAAGGAAAAAAAAACGAAATAAATAGATAGAAAGCGAAAGAGCGATGCAGCGCACACCAACAACCACTAGCAATAGGAGAAGGAAACGACCCGCAGACCCCTCAATTCCCCCGTCACGCCGCCTCGGTTGCTTCCATTTCACCCACACATCAACAACAACACACAAAAAGGGAATTATGCAGAGATTGCTGTTAAATGAATTCTGCCAATATTCCTCGTGAATAGTGGAAATGATAAAGTTATCGTCATCCTCATCCTCCTCGTGCTGCTGCCCCGCATCCGCATTATTGTACCCCACTAGACAGCATACATACACAGAGGAGATTGAAACACCATTTTATCTGTGTTTCATCTTTTTCGTTCTTTCTTGCTGAAAGGTCGGTTTTGCTCCACACAACTAATTATTCGCCTCACTGCCAGGGGCAAGTAGTCTCCGTGCGAAAAACCCCGTCATACGGAGAGACCCAGCTGCTACACAGCCGTAACAGCGGTGGGTCACGAGATGTCAAACATGGGACACACACTACTGGAAGCAAGCATGTATTATCCGCTGGCAGTCTCCTTGGGTTCCTCTTCCCGCGGCTCCTCCTACGATAGATCTAGTGTTGGGGAGGGAAGTGATGCACCTGCCTCCGTGTTAACGGCACCTGCGGTGTCGCATGGGGGTGTAGCCGGCAAGACTTCTACTGTGGGTGTATCTTCCTCAAGTTTCAGCTCATCGGCTTCCGTGACGCTCGCGTTGCCACCGGGGGACAAATCCATCACATCACTCACTGTGACAGGAGCAACTGCTGGATCAACATGATGAGCCACAACACTTACAGGAGTGCGGTTCGTCGGCGTTGGCTCCACGGCTGCACAAGCCCCCGCCGCCACCGAGAACGACGCGGAGGATGACCGTTGAGTGCTTGCATCCTCTCCCGTTTCTTCCTCATCGTAACTATATGTGTCTGCTGAAGATGCAGATCGCGACGAAGCATCATTGCTGCCATCCTCGACGAGAGCACTTGTTTCGGTGTCGCTGCTGCCGAGCGTCGAGGAGAAGTCGGAACCCGAGCCGCGGGATGAATCTTCGACACTGTCTTCAGCGCCGAGAGAACCACGCAGCAGCGGGTCCGTTGCCACCTCCAACCACGGGGGCAGTTGGCGGTAACCAAGGAGGGATGTGCCAAAGAGGTGGGACATAGTGCCAAGCTGGTACTGCGTGCGCTCCACGTACGGATCGTTGGACTGCGGAAGCGGCTTCTCACTCAGCAGTACGCTCTTCAGCGCCGCAAAGGCACTGCTCTGACGGTCCACGGTGCAACGAATGAGGCGACAATAGTCGCGCACTTCGTAGTCCTCGTCAAAGTGGGCAACCTCCAAGACGTAAAAGAAGAGTTTGCGAAAACGATCGGCCATCGAACTGCTGCCGTCCAGAAAGAGCCAAATCTTGCAGCCAAGCGTTAGCACCTGCTTCTTCACCTCCAAACTCTCCTGAGCAAATCGCTTCACAAACACACGGAAGCACTCTGGTGCCGCCGTGGCGATGACCGTGTGACGCTGAATGTTTTCCCCCACAAGCCAAAGAATACTGGCTTTCGCGGATGCCACCATGATCTTCTCATTTAGTACCTGGTTCAGCAGGCTGTAGACTAACTGGCACGTGCGTGCTGTGTCACTTCCCTGAACGGCGAGCAGTCGCAGAACAGAAATGGACTCCGACACCACCTCCGCGTTAGGGTGAGACATAAGAGGAACCAGGAGATGCATAATTTTTGAAGCACAGTTTGGCAACCGTCCTGCAATAAGTCCAAGACCACGCACCGTATCCACAACATTCTCTACATGGAAGTTTCGAAGATACCCACGAAACTCGCGGAATAGCTCCATGCAATTGTCCACCGTAATTAGTTTTGACATAATTTGTATTTTCATTTTCCGCACATCCCTCACATCTTGGGGAAGAAGATAAAACTCCTTAATGTATGCAACAAACGGCTCTGGCTGCGACAACACAACCGTATAGATGGCACTAAGAACGATTGCATGTTGCTCTTCGGGACCCCCAAGTAGACGCACCAAGGGTTTAACGCAGACGCCCAACTCTTTTTTAGGAGCGCAATGAAAAAACAATGACGTGGCAGCCACAACAACGGCACTATTAAGACTCATAAAGAGTGGCTTAACAGAATCAAGAAGTAGACGATGATCGAAGTCCAGAAGGCTATCGCTAGCTTCATCAAGGTTGTATTTGTTACTCTGGGCAAGTACCTCTGACGAAGCTCTCGTGAAAGATGCCAGCGAAGACGACGCTGACGCTGAGGAGGATGATAATGATGAGGTTAGTGAGGCCCCCTCGACCTTAGCATCAGCAATGTCCTGGGTTAAGTTCTTCTTCTCTTTGTTTCCTTGTTGTATTACATTCGGCTGGGAGGGACGATTAGGGTCCATAAACTGCGTTCGCGCATAACGCAAAAGTACGTGCAGCAGGACCACCTGCCCCCACTCCTCACAGTCAACGAGGGAACAACAGAGGTCACGATAGATGGGATGAATGAGATCCATCTTATCGGGGCATATCTCAATAAATGAGAGCGCGGCAGCCGAGGCCACCTCGGTGCACTTATCTGCTAACAGCTGCCCAAGAAGTTTAAGTATCGTTTCACTATCCCCGTCATCGGCACTAATGGCGTGCATTTGCGCGAGAGAAATGGCAGCTGTTTTTCGTACCAATGGTTCCAAGTCTGAGGCACATTTCTTTACAGCTACCAACACCAGTGGCTGAATGGCTGGAATGCGTATAGTGCTAAGCATCCGCAGTGCGAGGGAACGTACATGCAGGCTCGGATGCATCAGGTCCTTTTGGAAGGCAGAGATGGAAAGTAGAGCCTCATTGGGGCGATCTTCCGAGTAGTGTGTGATGTAAAAATAAATAAGCTTCCGCAGTTCAATCGACGGGGTGTGAACATTCTTCACCACGTCTGCAAAGAGGCTTGACATGTCATTCCCTTTGCACATCTGCGCAATGATGCGCTTCATCGCGTTTCGCTTCTCCTGAAGTGAGTCGGAGTCAAGGTGCTGGCGCAGATCCTCCTCCTTCGGCTGTACTGAAAAGAACTGCGCGTCCCCCGAGATGAGTGAGCGGGCCCGTGACACCACGTTGCCACCACCACTAATAAGCTCCTTCGCCCGCTCAGAGACAAATGTGGCCTTCTCCGCAATCATCGCTCGACTCATCTTTTCCTTCCCGCCAAAACGTTTTTTTTTCTTTTTCTTTTGTGCGTGTGTGTGTTCTTTTCGTTCGTTCGTTCCTTCTTCTATAATGTCGCTGGTACGCGTGTGCAATGAGGTCTCACTCGTGCACGGCCGCGGCACGGGCGACTGTGTTGTAGTTAGTGGTATGTATTGCGTCTACACCGCTAGCACTAATATCAGTAATTAATGAGTGAAGTGCCTTCCTGCTTGTTCCTTTTTGTTTTTCGTTTTCGTTTTTGTGTTTGCAAGCAAAAAAAAACAAGAATATTAATTAATTAAACCATATCCGATATGTGTGTATGTGGAGCATTGATGAATGATGCCAAGAACGCCCACATATTAAAAAAAAAAGCGAAGAGAGAGAATAATAACTAATAATATTCAGCACCATCACATAAAGAAGCATAAAAGTAAGAGATTTGCTCTCTTATTGGACTGTTTTCTTCTTCCTCCCCTTCCTTCTCTCCGTCTCCCTCTCTATTGCGTGCGTGCCTGTTATAAAGCAATGGTAAATGAAGCAAATGCATGTGTATGTGAGGACATCTATGCATGCGTACATGGATGTCAGCAACTATCGTCCGAAATTTCAATTGCCTGAATATCTTCCTTATGTTTCTCTTCAAGGCATCGCACCTGCAACTTCTTTCCCTCCTCCACACCCCTTGCCCGCTTTGCGAAGAGTGTATGCAGGCTGACAGGAGGTCGGTACTGGCAGACATGTCGTTCCTCCACTTTTCCCGGTCGCACAGCAAGCGAAATACCGTCAAAACAGGCACACACACCGCAGTGATCACTGTACTGTGGTGGCGTGACAAACAGTCCCGTAGACGGTAGACCACGGAACTGCACGTCTCTTGCCTCCACACTCAGTGGCGGAAGTCCAGAGCCATCAAAAGGGGCGGCAGGATAAAGTCCATCTGCCATCGCACGACGCGCGCCAACTATTGCAGAGCGACCGTCAAACTCGTCAAAGAAAGCGGAGGACGCCTCACTTTCTGTTGCCACGGATGCGGTTGCACCATCCATCCTGGACGCGAAAACGCCGGCATTGTTCTCCGTCATGCAACACGGAACCAATGCTGGGAGAAGCATCTCATCAATCAAAATGTAGTCAATACGAGTCCCCTCATTTCTTTGCCGCCTATTCCTGGACTGATCCCAACATGTGTATGGACACATCACCGTCGTCTGTGTCTTTCCTTCTCCCTTTTCTTCCGTACTCTTCGCCCGAGCAGAGGTCACAAGAAAGATATCGCACAGATGCAGCTCCTCGAGAAACTCCTTCATGAACTGCACACTCACGTCGCCATGTGGGGGCAAACCACAGTAGCGTGACAGGACAAAAAGTTCACGGTTGTGCGTCGCTGGCTGACGACGCAGCAGTGAATCCAGAAATATGCTTTGAAGGCCTGCGTCACACAGTTCCCCCAATGTGGCTAGTAGACCTGCGCCCCCGTTCCGCCTACGCTGTTTCTCGCGTTCGCGTATCCGCTTTGCGAGAAGCGTGAGAGCGGCACCGCCTCCAAGAGCGCCGTCTTCACCGTCCTCCTGGCTCCCTCTCATAACATCCAACAAGGCACCGCTGTCAACGCTGATGCTCTTGTTTTTCCCACCCACGCTTGAATTGACGTCGTCGGCGAGAAGCATAAGTGAGGCCTGCTCCACGATGAAGGCCTCCAGTCGTTGCAAGGTGGAAAGTGGAAGCCATGGAAATTGCTGCGCCCATGTTTCTGTTCCCTCGTCTTCAACTGCTTTCGACAAACGGACCAGTTGTAGCAGAGCAGGTAAACTCAGGCGTCGCAGCGACCAGCAGGCGTCCTCGGCCCGATACGTTTGATTCAAGTCCCCGAGCAAAATGATCGGTTTACCCGTTTTCTCCTTCAACCGAATTAGGAGAGTTTTTAGACTTGCCAGAAACCGCATCTTAAATTCCATGCGCTGGCCGTTACGAGCGTTCACGACGTACGTATTTACCACAACAAAGGCACTATGGCAGGTGACCACCACGCGACCTTCATCGTTCAGTTCCTCCTCACTGAACGGGCGGGAGTCACACCACCATGTAAGGCCTTTCCGAACAAATGTCGCCACCCCGTTGAAGCCACGCTGTGCCTTACCGCTAAAGGCCCAGAAGGATTCCCACCCTTCGATGGGTAACGCACCGCCACCGTCGCTGGCGCCCATACCAAAAGGGTCCGCCTCCAATTTTGCCCATGATCCCTTCACTTCCTGCAAACACACAATGTCTGCCTGAGTTCGCTGCAGAAAACATGCGATGCTTCCAAAGTCCTCTCGGATCGCCTTGGATGTTGAAGACCACCCCGCCACGTTCCAACTAATGATGAACATTAAAGTCCAAAGTGTACGGGGTGCTTAATAGGGTTTGGTATTCCTCTTGCTTGTCTTTTTCTCTCTCCCCTCTGCTTCCGCTTCACACTTCTTACCAATTCCTCCCTGTTATTACGTGTAGAGTCTGCATGTGCATGTGCATCACGTTGATGTATCCCTGAACACACACACACGCACACACATACACATAACAACAAAAAAAGGGGGGAAAAACTCCATAGGAAACGCAGATAGACGTGCAGCATGTGTATATGCATACTCCCGTCCCGATAATGAATAAGCCGCCGTAGCAGCAGCAAGAGCAGAAGAAGAAATATATTTTGTGCTGTAAATAAAGCATTCTCTTCTTGTGATTGCCTCAGCTGTTGTTAGGTGATCACACCAACTCGCGTAAGGGTGTCAGCCAGGCAACAACTCCCCCCCCCTCCCTCCCTCCCTTCCTCACTCCCCTAACTCTCTGCAAGAATGATATATATATATATATACACACATACACCGAGAGAGAGAGAAAGAGAGAATGGAAACTGCGACAACCCACAAAAAAAACACACACACAGAACGCACTAAAGGCGCTTCTTCAACTCACTTCGCAGCCGGTCAAGCACATTGGGCGTACTGCGGGGCCCTTTACTGGAATCCAGCAGCGCCGTGTATTCCTTTGTGATGCTCAGCAGCTGAGACCGGCTCGATGCAGGGAGGGATTTTAGGGACCCCAGAAGCTGAATGCTGGGGATGAGGTACTTATTCACAAGCTGTGGTGTCACAACCGCGCAGCGAGGGATAGTTTCCAAGACTGCAAGAACCGACGCTAACGCGTCCTCCGTCAGTTTGTGTTGTTCTGAGGGCGGTGAGCTGCTTCCCCTTCCTGCCACTGTGAACTTTGCTGATCTCACCTCCATCCTACGCATTGTGTCACTCAGCTGATTGATCATGTTGGCAAGCTGGGGGTACAGGAAGGACTCGCGTGGCTCTGCCGGCATCTCACGCAGCAGCAAACACCAGTGACGCAAGAACGCCACACCTAACCGCGAGGCGCATCCCTCTGCCTCAACTATTGCAACAACGGTGACCATCAGCTTCTCTTGCGCTGCCGGGGTGCTGGCAAACTTCACCATCGAAACTGTCGCCTTCATGGCAGCCTCCTTCACCTCATATACGGTGTCATTCATGAGCAGCAGCAGCGAGGGCCAAATACTCGTCTCTCGCACCTTGTCATCCATTGGCAGCCCACTCACACGTTCCACGAGGGCAACGGCAAGCATCCGTTGCCTCTCTTCCGATGACTCGGTGAAGGACCATAACATGGAGGAGACCGCCGCCGCATTGCCGCTCCCGTCATCCACGCGAGTCGCAAACCAAACAAGGCAAGTCGCACAGGCATCAAGTCTCGCACTCGCCTCCGACCGCTGCACCACCGTACTGTGCAATTCATTGGCACGTTCAGTGTCACCCGCCTCTCCCCGTTGTTCCCGATTCGTTGCATGCATCTTCGCCCTTTCATCATCCACCACATCCACCAACAACATCTCACGCAGCCACGTAGAAGCCTCCTTCGCGATGCTGTCGACATCTACAGAGGGCAATGTCCCGGCAGCCTCCGTCCCACCAGCGAGCCGTGTCAAGAAGATAAACAGGAAACACAACTGCCGCTGACGCCACCCGGCGCTGCGCCAAACCTCGGTACTACTGCAGTCACCGATGCTCCCTTGTGTGATGAACGCCTCAAGTGAATTACGTACCTGGCACCATCGATCTGTGCAAAGGGCAGGAACCACCGTCGCCAACGCTGATGCCAGGGCACAAATGGACACATTTGAAGTACCTTGCTCGTGACTCATCATCACTAAGGCATACGCAGAGGGCAGTACCACACGAAGATACGCCTCCTCCAGAAGCGTTGCAACTCCACCTTTTTCACCTGTAACACATTCAAGTGCATGTCGAAGGACATCTTCAATCAGGCTTGCCAACGTCAAGACGTTGCTGGCAACAGCGCTCTCCACAACATCAAGGCTTTTTACCGCACTCGTGGAAGCACCCTTCCGCATCGGCATATCGTCACATTCCAACACGGCGGACTCCCTTTCGAGACATGAGATGAGTAACGGAACAATTTGTGTAAGAGCCACAAAACACGGCGTACACACTGGGAGCAGGAGTTGGTTACGCAAACTTCGGAGGGCACAACGTCGCACAGTGCCACTGACGTCGTGTAAAGCAAGGCGCAAAATAAGTTCAACGTAACACGAAAGCGAATCACTCACATCGGCATGACTCGTTTCCTTTTCCTCAGCGTCATTGGGATAAATAGGCCAGAGTTCGGTAATACACTGGACCACATGAAACCGTACTGCACGGGCCTCATCCTCACTGAGTGGCCGCAATAATCCTTGACAAATAGATTTGCGCAGGGCATGTCGCCCCGTCCCAAAGAGAGGTGCGACACACATCACACAATCTAGAGCCAAAATGTGCCGCTCTGTAGACTTTGCATTTGCCAGATTAATCAGCTCTGGCACAATGTCGTACTCCAAAACAGATGACGGGAGATTCCGCAAGGTCATTGCCCATGCCTCTGCAACCGCCGCCCGATGTTCGCGGTTTGGACGACTGTAAAGGGTAAGAAGCTGAAGGCGGGCGGCAGCTTTGGCTGACTTTGTGCGATTTAGGGTTGCCGCAAGACTAATAATAGGGATCAGGACATCCTTCTGCATGGGATCCACAGCACTCACAAGGGTTGGCAGTCCTTTTGAAAGCACCGTAATCGTCTGCTCCAAGCTCTCCTCTGCATGCTGCAGTCGTAAGTGAAAAGGAGACATCATATTAGTCCCACTATCGTTGCTACTACCAGTTTCCCGCTTCACGGCCTCTGTGAGGAAAGACGGTTGGTGTTCCACAACGGCAGATGCCACAGGAGCACTGGGAGGGCAACGTTGCCGAGACTCGTCTTTTTCGTCGTCCACCAACGACAAATCGGAGGAGGCAACCTGCGCCGTCGCCTGCTTAACAGCTTCCCGGAGAGCCGCCTTTCCCTGCTGTTTTCCGTAAGCCACAAGCATGTCCACTACTGCCTCATTGAGAGCCACGCTAGTCACATCCTCGGAGCCAACAGGTACCTTATCCACTGGAGCGCACGCGGCCGCCAATTCGAGAAATAAGACGTGAGCCTTATGGTGAACCGTCTTCCACTCGCTGTAGAGTTCCAGCAGCGTTGTGGGACACCGATTCTCGCAAAGCCACGCGGCGATCTCCTCAACTGTGACGTTCTGCATGTGCCGCAGAGAAAAACTAAAATGGATGCAGGTAGCAGAGCCGACACCACAGGGAAAACAAAGTGGCAAACGGGAGTTTTGACGGAGGGCCAAGACGTATGACACTGCCGATGATAATGATCCCGACCCGACTAGTCTGGCAGAAGGGGAGGGCGACGCCCAAAGTTCGTGTGCCAGCGGCGATGATGGCCTCAAGTATACACGTCTGTCCACAAGGGAGATCAAGCGGGCATGCAATTCCCTCACCAGCGATAGTCTTTCCTACCCGGGCTGCGTGGCTCCCAGATGCTCGGAAAAGCTGCCAGAAACCCACAAATAGACAAAAAAAAACAGCAAAGGCGCTGGACAACTCGCAAAAATAAACAAAGAAAAAAGGTAATTAAAAAATAAATAAAGAGTAAAAGCAACATTCAACTACAACATTATCATCGCCAAAGTTTTTGGGCACCCACTAAAAGTAGAAAGCGGCAGCTTTTTCTTATTCCCCTGCATGAAGATGTACACGATGGGGGTTGGGAAAAGGGGCAGGTTACCTGCAGTACACGGTCTTCCACCACAGACGCACGCATACACACATCTGCATGCATGAAGCTGTGCTTGCTTACATTGAACTCTACGCCAGTGTCACCGCCACTAATCAGTTACATCTGGAGACACGTACACACACAAACAAAAAACGCATAGAAAGACGGAAAACGTTTCCTCTTTTTTCCAAACGGAAACAAAACAAAATCAAAAAGAGGGCACAACAAGGAGGAATTTCCTCTCCGTAGTGAGCGGCCACAAACGATTAGGCGGAGGTGACACCTTCGCCTGCTGTGAGTTTATCGCACGCCATCAGCACCTCCTCCTGGCTACGGTATACTGGCTTTGGTTGCCGGTCTAGTACAAAGCGTTCGAATAGCGCAATGTGTTTCTTGCGATTGTTTTCCATACCTTCATTGTAGAGCCGCGTCACAACCTTCGCCTGCTCCGCCTTCCCAAGTGCCTTGCGAGTGCGTTGCAGGGGGGCCAACTCACGCTCGTACAACTGCTGGAATTTAAGCTGCTTCCGCTGAAGCGACTCGTCGTACAGGTGACGCACCAGCGTCTCCCACTCCTCTACATCAAATTTCTTCTGTTTGGCGTGAAACTTATCTATCTCCGCATTGGCGCTTTGCTCAATCTCACGCATACGTTGTTGTCGGTGGGCAATGGAATCGTCGTACAGGTGTTTGATGCTGTGCGCCAGCTCCTCCTGCGAGATCACCTTCTGCTGCACCAGCGGCGGGAGATACAGCTCGCCATAGTGGCGCATGCTGAGGCGGTTTACGTTCCTCTCCACCTCTTCTCGTGTTAGGATGCGCGTCTTTGGAGCGTCCGTCATGTTTTCTAGAACAATAGCACAAACACTGTGTCCAACTTTCTATTTACCTATACACTGTAAGTAAAGACGCAACGAAACAAAGTAGAATCGTATAGGAGGCAGTGATCAGAGATACAGGTGACTATTTCAATATGCTGTGGCACAATAATATATTACGTATGCTGTCCAACACGGTCCCCACAGCGCTCTACCACACTCAATGCGTTTCTTTCCTTCTTTTTCTCTTGTGAGTGGAGCACAAACAGAAATGATGCGGAAGAATAGATGTGGAACTTCAGTTAACTCTAAACATTTTAACAGTTTACTCCCTTTCACTGCTTCGTTCCAAGAAACAATATGGTAAACAGGAGAAAGGCAAGAAAAGAAAACAATGGCATGTACACAGGTATGGCCATATATATATATATATATATATATATATATACAGAG